GGACTCGAACCGCTGAAGCGTCGACCATTTCTAGCAGGCACTTTCAGCGTCATTAAGCCACTGCGCCACCACGTCCCCCTTTAGCTGAATATAACACTAACTAATTTGGCATTTGAATTAAATGGAGAATCTGAAGCAGAGTTGCCTAACTTTACAGATGCAGGATCACTCTTGGCTTTTCAATAACATGCCAGGAGCCACTTTCAAAGTAGACAGGGCCAGAACAAAGATTTTTGTTCTGGGATTTTTCAGGAAGCAGAATTAAGTTCTGAATGTTCAACATGGGCAAATAACTCTCCATTTCTTCAACTTTCTCTTCACCAACTGAAAGACTTATTGGAAGGAGGGATTGGTGGTGAGCACAGTGTGCATTATTTATTTACACCTTGCCTGCCTGCTAGATATTGAACAAGGTCACTACCAACAGTAATAAAATACATTACTAAAAACAGAACAACCAGTTACAGCTAATTCTATTTACATATCAGTTTAAGTGCCAAATATCTGTCTGAAAATGATTTTGTTTGTCAGGTTGGCTACTTTGTGTTGTGAAAATGTTTTCTAATGATAAAAGGAAAAAGAGGATAACTTTTCCTCTAACTTTACTCTTTGGCTCAGTTAATACTATATGTGGAAGCTTGTATTTGTGTATTATTTCCTTTGTTATTCTTGGGTAAAAGACTTGAATGTCCTATGAGAGATCACAGCTCTCTGGCACAACTATATCTAAATTATGTAGGTGACAGGCTCAATATCCTGTTCTTTTGTTGTTGGGGGAATCAATCCTTTTTCTCAACTACAGATATGTTACTATAGCACCCTCTGCTGGAACAGTGTGCTAAATTGATACAAGTTCTGTTTGCAAAAAAGAGAAAAAAAGTTTTCAAGTGTCTGTTAGTCTCCATGGCCTCTTAGTCTGAACTACTGTGACACACATGATGTTTTTACATGCAAGATTTCAAAAGACCTTTTTACCACCACCTCTCCACCTGCATGCTGATGTTGAGCTTCCTGTTGAATTTCTCAGACAAACTACAACGTCTGTGTTTGGATTTTGGTTTTGCTTTAAAAATCCTTGGGAGAAAATATACATGCAGCTGGGCTGGTTTGCATGCAGCTCTCACTGATTTGATGTTTATGTGTTAGGTATTTTATCTGCTATTTTTAGTTTAAATGGGTAGCCCTGGGAAAACTTTATTTTGAACATTAGTACATAACATCTTTAAAAAATGAGTGGGCAACTGCAAAGCGTCAGATGTGGGTGTGCTTGCCCCCCCACTTCTGCTCAGCCAGGGGGTGGAATTAACGCATCTTGGTTATTCCAGTTGCAATCTTGTTATACATGAACTAGGAATCACGGGCAAATATTTAGGCAATTGCTAAAACTAGTTGCTTCAAGAAGTGGAATATAAATTAGGCTTGTTGAACAAACCTGTGTATGAAACAAGCCAAGAATTACGTAAAAAGAAAATGCATTATACAGTAACTTCTTCCTCCACTTAGTTATGGGGGAAGAGCAGAGAGTTGGACATGGAGTATTCCACAGTAGCTTACAGAAGCTCGTGCCAATACAGTATGGCTAAATGGTGAGTTACTTCTAAATGTGAGCCAGACCACTGCAAAATGTAATCTGACATATAATATGACAGTGCCTTGATTTGGAAAATTGAGTTGCTACTCCGTGGTTGAAGCAAGCTGATTTGATCCATTCATTCTGTCAGAAATGGGCCTCATGCTTTAAAGCCACTTTTAGCATTCAGATCAAAGCAGCATAGCCCCATTTCAATATTAACATGCTCTTTGAAGCTCCAAACAGCTGTAGTTCAATGCTGTTTTTAAAAGTATTGAGGTGCCTCATCTTACCTTTTCCATTTATATTCTTTAATTAGCTTTTTCTGCAATACTACACAGTCCAGGAACTCAAATTAATTGCCTCTGGCATTGGTGGGACCATCTTCAACATACCTTCAAAGTATATTAATTGAGAGACTACAGTAACCCTTATAGAATCCATCCCTGAAAGAAAAGGCAATCCAGTGCCCTCCAACTGTTTTGGGGACTTTTTAAATCTTTTGCTGCTGTAGGTTGAAATTCAAATTAAGTATGTGGAAGGTCCCGGTTTGCGTAGTTGTACTTTATAGCATTAAGCACAAACTATTTTTCATTCTTCGCTTGAGTACAATTCTCAGGTGGTGTTACGCACACTCACTTTGAATTGCAGCTAATTCTTCATGTTTTCCAATTGTGCTGCCTGGTGACATGTTCTAAAATCTCTTACTGCAATGATTTCCATTTAGTTTTCTCTTTGCTCAATTGTTTCAATTAGCAGTTTCCATGTCCTGCTGCATGTACAATATATCGAGTCCATATAGTAGTTAAATTTTTGCATTTGGGCCTGGATGGAGGGGACTTACGTTTGTGTTCATTTGACTACAGAGCTAATCTGTATCCAAGATGTTTACTAGTAGATGCAGATTTTTCTTTTGCCCATCACTGTATTGGGAGATGAGTAATTCTTTGTCCTTTAGAAAGTGGGAGTTTCAAGAGTTTATATGAGATGCTTTCCGTTCAACCTAACATGTCTCTTCTGAGTGTTTTGAATTTGGGTTCCTGAACAGTGGGGACTAATATGCTTTTGGACATTTACCAATTTATTTTTTATTAAAACAAACAAACAGAAGACATCAACATTGTGTTTAATTCCAAAAAGTTTCAAGAAATGTGACATCCAGAAATGAATGTACCTTGTTGTTAAGCATCTCTTTTAAATGGAAAATTAAAAGCACCTCTCTTCACAGTCTTTCTGTATTCTTTATTAAGCACAAAAATGCATAAAAATCTAGCATGTGCTTTTGTTTACAGTAGCAGGAAAATTGGGTTTTAATTGTTGCAAACCAGATGCTTCTGAATCTTCCTTTCCAGTCCACCCATGCTCCCTGCTTGGCACATTGTCTCAAACGGCATCCAAGACTTAGCTTTTCCGTATTAGCTGCTGCCCTTTCGCGCTCTCTCTGGATGAATCAACATCCAAGTCTCCCAGATGCCTTCCAGCTGCTGCTTTTCTTCTTTGCTGAAATTGAACCAAAGTTTGCTTTCAGAGCACTTGGACTGCAGCTGCTTCTTTCCTAGCATGCACAGTGCTTGTGATCTGCTATGTAATCAATTGGTTTCTTTTGAAATGGGGACAACTTTGTCTAAAATTAGATCTTGTAAAACTATTGTAATAATAATAAAAAAATAAACTAGTTTGACTCATAATTTTGTAATGTTTGTAAATGTAATCTAATGAAATTGAGCTCTCATGCTTGTTCAGGACCAATTAAATTGGAGTTGATCCATTTACTTTTGGTTGATACATATATAGTATCTAAACTGAAATTGGTAACAACACATACAGTTCAGTATAATTGCCGTTATTTATAAAACTATAATTAATTGCAGTTTCTTTGTTGAGACACATTTGGATTAGAACCAGTTTTCTTAATGCGTGTTGTGTCTTTTTTGGCATTTTCATCAGTGCATGTGTGTTATAAAGACATAATGATCAAACGGGGATATTTTCCTTGATGGTCTCAAGTAGTTCAGTGTTAAACAATGCTACTAGTACAGGACTGTTCATTTAGATCTAAACAGTCCATATCTATGGAATGGGCCAATTTAGTTGTTCCAATAACTTTAAGTATATAGCGGGGAAATTGCAGCCTAGGATTCTGGCATATGATGTTACTAATAAATTCAGATTTATTATTTACAGGTGTTAGGCTTAAACATCTATCTATAGCCAAGGATAGAAACCTTCTGGTACATATTGGTGAAAACAAGCATACACTGTTTAGTCTGGACTTTTTCTGCTGCTGCTGCTTATCAAACTTTTTCTCCCCTCAACTCTGCCAACATAGAATTTGTTTTGTATGGTATAGCAACCAGTCTCAATTGACTAATTTCCTCTATTACATAATAGCAATTAGATTCAAGAATTTTAGTCTTTCCAAAATCTTAACATTTTGCCAGAACGAATGAAAATGACCATACAGGTAGTCTTCGCTTAACGACCATTCATTGAGTGACCGTTCAAAGTTACAACAGTGCTGAAGTAACTTACGACCTGTCCTCACACTTATGACTGTTGCAGCGCCCCTGTGGTCACCGATTGCGATCTGGTGCTTGGCAACCAGCTCACATGACCTTCCCAGCCAGCTTCCAGCAAGCAAAATCAATGGGAAACTTCATGATTCACTTAATGACCATTGTGATTTGCTTAACAGCAGCTGCAAAAAATGTCATAAAATCGGGTGCAGTCACATGATATTTTGCTTAATGACTGCCCTGCTTAACAACAAATTTTCCAGGCCCTATAGTGGTCATTAAGCGAGGACTACCTGCACTGATAATGGCAGAGATCCAAAATCTTTCAAATGCATTTTGTATGGTTTTGAATTATTCTTGTTCTTTGATTTTAATAACAGAACTTCATACCTCATGAGAAATTAAAAGTCCCCTTACTTTTGAAGTTGTTTTGCCAGCTGTTATTTTGCTTGGTCCTTGATAAAAAAATAAAAGTTCAAGCATCATTTGAATGCTTCATATCCCTGCCTATTTTCTTACATAAAATAAACTTCATAAGAGCAGAGATGAGGAATGTATGACCTTCCAGATTTCTGTGAAATAAAGTATCTAGAGGACCACCAGCATCTTACCCATATTTTGGTCCAGTCTTCCCCAGATTAATGCTGGGACTTTTTCCTAGCCAGCATCTCTACTGGTATACACTATACAAGAAATGGAGTAATAGTAAAGATTTTTTGTTGTAATTATACTGTAATGTGTTTTACATAACACTTCATATTCACTAATCAAAATAGTGTCAAGATACAGTTATAATTACTAGCAGTACTATGAAAATTGCTCTGTTCCCATGTGCTACTCAAGATATTACTATGATTTATTGGAGTGTTGGTAGTTAAGTCATGAGTTAACATATAATTGATAGTAAGATGGTTTTCTGTCACTTGAAAGAATATTTTTGATGCCTTCATATGGAAGAAATGCAAGCTGTGACAATTATAATAACTTTTTAGTATTTCATTGTGGCTTTTTTCATATATATATCTACACACACACACACACACATATATATATATATATATAGAGAGAGAGAGAGAGAGAATAATAGTATCAGTTTTAGAAGAATTGCATCAGCCCCTGTTATATGTAGGATTTTTATATATATACATTTAAAAAGTGGGAATATGTCAAACATATAAAATGCATATAGGAATATGTGCATAGGCATACATACATAAATAGTGACATTCTCATTTTTTTTTACTACATATGAGTATATACTTAGCAGTGCTGTTCAGTTTTTTTTTAATATTACACAAAGATAATCTACTCTTCTTAAGACCAAAAACAAAAAGCCCCCCCTTTTTTCTTTCTCTTGATAATTCTTAAAATGTGAAACTACCCAGATATTATGTCTCTTCCTAGGAATGCAAAATAAGAACCTTGTTGACATTGCATATTAAATTTTATCTTGAGTAAAAGCAGATTTAAGGCACTAATTTATATAATGCTGTAATGTAATTTGGTAGATGGCGTTTAAAGATTATTGACAGACTTTTTCAAAGTTTTAGGAAAAACAGTCAGGTCCAACCTGGCTCAGCATTTTGAAACAAAAGTGTTTAAGCTTAGTTTAGTTAACATTGAGTGAGAATCTGTAAGTTGGCTAGCCATACCTCCTTCACCCAGGAACAGATGTTTTCCAGACAAAACTAAGATTTATTTTTAATGCAGTAATATACGAAGATCTTATTTTTTTAAGCAGAATTTTACTGTTCTTTATTTTGGGAATAAAATATTGAGGAATGAAGACTCTGTCTAATTTAGCATCCACAGAAAACTTGGAGAGTCTACTTGGAGAGTTTACTTGGGTGATGGTATGGAAATGGTAGGGAGTTATTTCTATTTCTTATTTATGCTAACAACTCTTGCTGCAAGAGAAGTCTCTTTTTCTCTTCCAATCCATCTGCAGAACATTTTGATTATAAGTGGCAAAATCTTGTGAGATGTTGGCATTCCTTTTAATTTAGTGCCAGCACAAGGGACCAGTTCCAGTACCCAAACAGGACAATGATCCCCCAGCCACAAATTGGTAACCATTGTTCTAAGCTTTTAGCATCTATTTCTTAAACTAAAACAGTAGTTCTCAACCTCCAATCCAGAAATTACTGTTAGTTTGTGAAAGTACTATTAGTATGGAATAAAATAAAATAAAAATAAATAAAAATACATTTTTGGAAAATCAAAGTCTTGCAAAAGATTTCAGCCAGAAACTCTAAACACTTGGGAGATTTGACAATTTTGCAAGATTTCAGCCATTAAAAAAATTATGTGGTTTATGTGGTAGTCTTCAAAGGTTCTTGATAAGAATATAGTGGTTTGCATTTAAAAAAAAAATTGGTAACTGATGGACTAAAGAACTGGTTTGAGCTTATGTGGTAAGGAATTGGCCAAACAAGACACAGGAACAAGAATTAGTTACATCAGAGAGACAATATCGGAAAAGATTCTTGGAGGTGGAGTAAGCAGGTGAATAGCATTATTGTTGCTGGTTTGTGAGGAGGAGAAAATGACTAGATTTTGTTTTCTTCTTGATAGAGACTTCTAAAAATATCACTGATTCTTCTAGTAAGTTTTCTTTTTTGGAATTTTTGGAATTTGTGTGTGTGTGCATGTGTGTAAAATTG